TCCATGCTCTAACTACACGCTGTGTAAAGAAGTGTTTTCTCAAATTCAGTTTAAAATGTTCTCCTGATAATTTCGACCTATGGCCACGAGTTCTAGCATTTAAACTAATATTAAAGTAGCCATTTGGCTGAACAGCATCGAGACCTGTTAGAATCCTATATACCTGGATCATGTCCCCCCTTAATCTCCTTTGCGCGAGGCTGAACAGATTCAGTTCAGCTAACCTCTCATCATAAAACATTCCTCTAAAACCAGGAATCATTCTTGTAGCCCTACGTTGAACCTTTTCCAAGGCAGCAATGTCCTTTTTAAGTTATGGTGACCAAACCTGCACACAATATTCTAGGTGGAGTCTTACCAAGGAATTATATAAATGTAACATCACCTCCCTTGACTTAAACCTAGAGATGTAACCCAACATCCTATTGGCCTTTTTTATTGCTTCCCCACACTGGCGAGAGTGGGACATGGAAGTATCAACATACACACCGAGGTCTTTCTCATAAAGCTACCTTTGTTTCAGTGGAACCCATAAAATATCTGTACTTTGTATTTCTTCTCCCTGGATTACCTTACATTTATCTACGTTAAATTTCATCTGACAGGTATCAGCCCAGTCACTGATTAAATCAAGATCCCGTTGTAGCCTCTGTGCTGCTAATTTAGCATCTGCTACACCACCCACCTTGGTTTCGTCTGCAAATTTAACCAGTTTACTGTATGTATTGGTGTCAATATCATTAATGTAAATTAGGAACAATATTGGTCCAAAAATTGAACCCTGCGGTACCCCACTATGAACGCAGGCCCACTGTGACATTGTGTCTCTAATAACTACCCGCTGCTTCCTGTCTATTAACCAGTTTTCGATCCAAGCTGCTACAGTTCCTAAAATCCCTGCAGCTTTAAGCGTAAGCAAGAGCCTTTTGTGGGGGACAACATCAAAGGCCTTCTGGAAATCTAAGTAGATTTAGTTGTAGGCTTTTTGGTGATCAATTTCTCTTGTAGCTTCCTCAAAGAACTCCAGTAGATTAGTTAAACAGGACCTACCTCTCCTAAATCCATGTTGGCTATCCCTCAGAATGTTATTTGTATCCAGGTAATCTACCATTTTCACTTGGATTATAGCTTCCATTGCCTTTCCAGTTATGCAAGTTTAAACTGATTGGCCTATAGTTTGCTGGATTTCTTCTATCCCCTTTTTTGAATATGGGTGTTATATTAGCATGCTTCCAATCAGAAGATACCACAGCAGTAGATAAGGATTTCTGAAATTGTAACGTTAAAGGTTGGCTAATAATATCCCTCATCTCTTTTAAAACTATAGGTAATATGCCATCAGGGCCCTGCGATTTATTTATTTTGAGCTTAGCTAGGCTTTGTACCACATCAGCCTCAGTTATACATATATTGGTCATAGATGATGCTGTATTTCTACTAAATGGTGCCAGGTTACTTGTGTTCTCTACTGTGAACACCCCTGTAAAATAATCATTAAACTCACAAAGGCTGCATGCTCTCCTCAGTGACTGACGGTATGGGGCCTGTTTAGCTGATGTTTTTCTATAATGTATTGTGGATTTAGCACTACTTAATCAAACACAGAACTTAGATAAACATCATCAAGTTCCCTGCAGAAGGCAGCAAATGATTAATTAATAAATAAACTGTAAATTAATAAATAAAGTGCAAATTAAATATTTCTTAAATTATTAATTTTTTATTTGGTGGGTAAAATGACTCTAGCAACTAAAAAGCAATAAAAAAAAGTTTGATTTGTTTTTTTTCTTACTTTATGTACTAATAGTGATATTTCACAGCTTTTGAACTTTTGTCCCTAAAATTAAACAGATTGAGGACCTACACAGATTTTAACCTACAATACGGAAATTATTATGGGGCCACTTCAAACAGAACATCTCAGAGCCTCTGGTTTCATTTTAAAACAGTTGCTGTAGTCTTTGTGTTCCTACCTGGTTAATATTAAAATCATGAAAATGCAGGTGTTATTTCTAAAAAAGGATTTACATTTTAATTTTTAATGAATAGCTACTGGCCTCCCATCTAGCCTCCTTTCCTCATGCCCTTGGTTTCTCAGGACAGGTTCCCAGTCCCCAGGGATGGTTAGCTGACCCATGGGGTTTGTTCTCCAACCTGCATTATTTACTTACTGCTGCCATATGGATAATCTTGCAATAATAAAATGCACGTTAAGCTAATATAGTTAACAGCATTTTTTTCCAGTCAGGAGGGGAGTAATGTGAGGAGAGTGCTCACCATGTGGGTCTGAGTGATCGGTGCAGCCGCTACGACCTGGCTCAGTGTTTCAGGTACACGTGGAAGGTGATCTGCTCTTCAATAATGCATATGTTTTGCGATGCTCCAGAGGCTGTGCTGGAGCTTCCTGTTACAAGCTGGAACGCGCTTGACGCATCAACCATCTTGGGCAGACAGGTTTGTGAATTACAGTTACAGGAAGGCTTTGGTGAGAAGTTAACCAGCTAACTTGCAAGTCCTGAAGACAAGCCTAGTACCAACCTGCTGCTCCTTGCCTTTCGTGGGCCCCCCACTCTCAGCTCCAGCCCTTTCTCCTCTCTGTTTAATTAATCTCTTCTCATGAACTGGTTTTCATTACAAGTCAGGATAGTTTTTGTAACTCAGCTTCTTAACAGAAACTTCTCTACCCTGTCTGTAATATTGTCCATTCTCCCTGCTGTCTTTCGTCACCAAAAAGCTTGTTTCCCACAAACCCAAGAACTTTGGAAAAACACCTGCAGCTCCTACCTTCACGACAAAATAATGGCCCTCTTACTACAGGAGGATTCTGATACTGTATCTAAGGCTGACATAACAACTCATAATCTTCCATATACTACACTTCATCGTGTGTCAGTAAATAAAATTAAAATGATAACATAATATCAATAATAGCTAAAGAAAACAAGCATTTCATGCCAGATGGAAGAGTTCAGCTTAAAGGTTTGCTGGTGTTGTGACTGATGTCAAAAAAATAAAAAAAGATTTTCAATCTCATTTAAAATGTAGATGTCATTAGATTTTCATTTTTTTCTGGACTTTAGGAACGATAAATTTGCATAAGTACAGTTTTGAAGCTGATATTGAAAAAAATTAGTGGAAAAAAATTGTGGAAATCCCATTATATATGTGATTATAGTGCCTTTTTATGTGAAATCTTGGTAAGCATGTAAAATGCTTATGAAGACATGTAACCACAAGATCATTTCACTTGTGCTTAAGCTGTTTTCACATTTCAGGAGTGTGGCATCCAATCCGACCATAACACTCGACATGCTGAGGATGACTGGCATTCCTGGCCCTAAAAGATAGGGGAGGGCACCTTTTTCCTTCTGTCAGACACGCTGGTGACATTTATCTTTGCAAAGTTTTCAAGTGACAAAATAACTGAGCAACTGCCCCTTTTGCCTGAATGAATGAAACTGCCCCCCCCCTTTGATGTTGCAAGTGCCCATTTAAAATCCCCCCCAGCTGTCAAAAAATACCAGTCTGCCACGCCCCCCCCTCCCATTTCATCAGCTACCCTTCGAAAACATTGTGCATGTCACTGCTGTTTATAGATTTGTCCCCAGGTCAGAATTAGTTCCACCTTGTTTGGAAACCTTTCATACAGTTTGAGTCAACTCTACAGATTACTCATCATTTTCATTAGGTCTGAAATTTATGCCATTTATCAATTCCTCAGACTGTTCTGTATAAAGCGATACCTAAGTAAGGAAAGTTTAATGTAAGCCAGCATCCCTGGAGCACTTGCAGTTATTATTATCATTATTATTATTATTATTATTAACAATAATAATAATTTAGTTTTATTTACATAGTGCCTTTCTCACACTCAAGGATGCTTTACAATACATACAATATAATACAATAAAAGGTCTACAACTAAACGTAAAACAAAGGTCAGCCTTGCAAAGTGGATGATGTATTAAATATATATGGGCACAGACCCCTACCCCTACCACACTGACACACTGCCCATTCTGCTGAATTAGCTGACTGCTCTCATTTGCCCTTTGATTGTCACTGTGCGGCCTCAGCAGGAGATTCCCTATCCTGTGTACTGTATGTGTGTGTGTGTGGGGGGGGGGGGGCAGTTAGGAGCATTCCAAGGGTCCTAAAGATTTGGAACATAATTGGATTGGTCTCAGTTGGGGGCCCCATATGATATCCTTTGATGGAACCTAAAATCTCTAGCAGTGCCCCTGCTTCTCTCAAATTCATGTGACTTTATTCACTGAAAATTCACTTACTGAAAGTAGACAGATGCTATGCACTCTGCCCCAAAATCCCTGAAAGGAAATTCTGAAAAGCTGCAACAAGTAAATATCCAGCTTGTTATGTGTGCACCGTAAAACAATACGTGTAATACTTGTTTGATAATGCCCTCAGGCACAGGACCGTCTGGTATGTAAGAAATACTTTTAGATCAGCAGAAACAAAAGGTTGTGTGTTCCATTATAACCAAACAGACCAGTTTTTTCAACTAAGTTTTTTTCAAGTCTCACATGAAACAATAGTCTTTTGACTCATATTAAGAGAATCAGATATAATACTAGACATAACAGCATTATTTCAACACAAACCAACAAAGGTAGTAATGCAGATGATTATATGAATCCCCAGTCATTATTTTATAGAATAATAGGATAAAGGGTATAACTGATATTAAGTGTGTGTGACTTTAAATACAGTCTCCAAAAGCCATTGCTTTTCAGTACCTGAAGAAAATCTAACTTTAAATTTAGTTTCTTGGGACACATGTGAGTGAAATAAAATAAATGCTGAAAAATGATCACACGGAAGAGCTGAGCTCTTATTATTTAATTATAATTGATGAAGCTGGTTATTGAGTTTCAACTGTAAGCTCACACTTCCTGACTGTTCTGTGCATTTGCTTTGTGTCACAGATCACAGGCGCCGAGCAGGGAAGTAGGCACAGGAGTCGGGTGAACACTGGGGTTTATTTGGAATAGACACACTCATGAACACGGAACGACGTTAATAACCGGACTCGGGAGACACTCACAATAACTCACTTAAATACACCTAATTAACATAACGAGAAACAGCTGATAAGAGGAATCCACATGAGGTAAATGAGGGGGCATGGCACACAGGAAGATCAGAATGATCAGCGCATGACAGAACCCCCCCACTCAAAGGCACGCACTCCGGGCACACCTGAAGGGACCAAGGGGACTAAACAGCGGACATGACGGGACTCAGAGCACAACAGCACCTGGGGGAGACAAAAACATCAGCGAACCACAGGGAACAGCAAAGGCACAAGAGACTAGCAGGACAACAGCTGACAAAACAGACACAAACAGGGAAACCGAGGACAGAAACACAAGACCCAGAGACACCAAGGAAGGGGACAACGAAGAAACACAAGGTGACAAACCAACAGGGGGGAACACTAACTGAAGGGGAGAAGTGGCCAGGCAGAAACACAAAGGGGCCAGGCCAGACAAACAGAGAATAAAATGAAGAGGCAAAGGGCAGGGGGAACCAGGGAGCTGGAGGGAACCGAACGGTGAGAGAGGAGGCAGTTCACAGTCCAGGTATACCTGCTCTATCATTGCTTCAGCCTTTCAGCTGGTTCAGGTTTTGCCACACCTCCTCTGCAAGGTGCGAGTCCTCAGACAGGGAAATCACCTCTAGGATTTCCCTCAACCGGATGGCGAGGGCTCTAGCCGCTGGGTCCTCTTGGACTTCAGCTTGTCGGAGCCAGTAAATGACCTCTTCAACCAAGCTGAGGTATTCTTCCTCCGTAAAGCAGGGTGTCTTCTTGTGGAGTCTGGTCATTCTGTCACAGATTGTAGGCATGGAGCAGGGAAGCAGGCACAGGAGTCAGGGGAGTCGGGTGGTTTATTCAGAATAGACACACTCAGGAACACAGAACAACATAGCAACATTAATGACTAGACTGGGGAGACACTCACAGAAACTCACTTAAATACAGCACAGCACTTAACATAACTAGAAACAGCTGATAACAAGAGGAAGAAGGTAAACAAGGGGCCGTGGCACACAGGAGGATCGGAACAATCAGGGCATGACATTTTGAGCCTTTATAATGGACGGGAGGGTTTCTGTCTGAAAAAAGGTCCAGTTAAAATTAATTTCTTCCTTTCTAAACTGCATATTTTAAATGTAATTATGCAATGAAGGTAGTCTGTGCCTCATTATGATGTCATAAACTGCCTAGAAGTTGTAGACCTTCATTGTGGACCTCAAGATATTGTATACTGTCTGATCTGAAGCCACAAAAAACTGGATTGTCTTTAACCTATTGGTCTGGTATAGAAGGTATGAAGAAACTGGTACAGTGTGTTTGTTCAGGCTGAAAGGAGGATGAGCTGTAAGCACCCTGGTAAAGCTGATGAAGTAAAAATGTATGAAGGGGAATGATCTGGACAGCCATATAACTGAAGGAGGCTTAGATTGCTGGATGTGACCATGTGTGGGCAAAAAAACCCAATTCAAAGTGTTACATAGCCAGAAGAAGTCCTGTTCCTAGTACCTGTGCATAAGCAGGAGTCACACGGGCTGTTTTCAGACACATTCTCTTCAGCCTTTACAAACTGTGACTGATGACCAAGCAGCAACTCCCAAATCTGATATGGTGTTAAGGCACATACTGACAGAGGGGCGTAGTGGCACAGTGGTTGGACAGCTGTGACACACATCAGGGCAGTTGGGTTTACATGCTCAGCTACAAGAATTGTAAAATGCTATTATCTGATACATGCGATGCCTGGACTTTGCCTGCCAATCCGAAGTGAGAAGCAAAAAAATGTCATAAAACATACTCAATTAAACATAATCTGCAATAGCAATACAATATCTACTGATTTTCATCACTTTCCTACATTGAATTTTATATGATCATTTAGTTCTAGTAATATAGCCTATAGAAGAAAAATGAGAAAAAGATTAATCTTTCTTTTATTACAGTACTTAATGTACAAGATGCATAGGCATGTTCATGCTGATTAAAGTAAAAACACCTGTCACCCCTGGTGTGAGAAAGTTCTAGAACAACATCCTGGGTTCCAGAGGTCTCTCTCTCCCTGGCTGAGGTCAGTATTTATACAATAAGGATGGTATGGAATTTTTCTATATTTTCAGTACAGTGTGTATGGACTGCCAGGTCTACAGGCATAAACACGAACCAAGGCTGCAATGTAAAGCAGCATTTTTCCATTCATAAGCCACACAAAACAGTACAAGGAGTACTTTGATAAGAAGACAGGCACAATTCTTAGCTTTTGTAAGGAATCAGCATAATATTTAATAAATATGTTTTCATAGACATCTAGTATTTGGCCAAAAACACTGTTGATACATGTTTTTGTACCTAATTTAGGTATGAAACAGAAGCAAATTATAAACATCAATGTACTCATAACCTTAATTGTATTACTGTTGTATTTTTTTCTGGACTGCTGTAATTTTTCTCTGAAATCCTCAGTTACACTCATTACCCCCCAGATGAACTCTTTTGTGGACCCTGGTACTTTTTCGTCAGCTGAAAGATCCAAATTAGACTGAAGTGTGGAGCAGTGACTGATCTGTGTGTTGCCCTCCAGCCCATGGAGGTGACAGGCATAGTGCGCTGACCCTATAATCCACAGTTACTTCCTTCCTGTGCCTTTGTTTCAATTTCCTGGCGCCCTCTGTAGATAACTTGTTTTCAAGCAGCACACCATTAGCCTGCCCCTGCAAATCCATCTGCTTTTAAAGGAAAAAGAACTGATAACTCATTTGTTGACAACAATCCTCCTTCTTTAAGCTACAATTCACATAGTGATTTCTGCATGAAAAAGTTGTTTCATTATAACCAGTAGGAGGTCTGAAGCCTATCTTGGAAGCTATGGACACAAGGCAGGATATGATCCCGGATGGGGTGCCAACCCATCACCGGCCATGCACACACCATGCACACATAGACAATTTGGTAACGGCAATTCACTTTAGCATGTTTTTGGACTGTGGGGGAAACCTAGAACCTGGAGGAAACCTCACGATGACATGGCTAGAACAGGTCAACTCTACACATCTAGAGCTAGGGTGGAGACTCAAACCTCAGTCCCAGAGGTGTGAGGCAACAGTGTTAACTGCCGCGCCATTATGTTGCCCCTTTCTCTGAACATTAATTGAACTGAAAAGACTGATGATTTCAATGTAATTCTTGGATTAGTGTGTTTTCATTGAAGCTCAGGCTCAAAGATTTCAAAAATCGTAAGATCTTCTTCATCAGGGTTTAGTTCAGCCCTGCAAATGGTAACCCTTGCCCACTTGTATCTGTTGGGATGCCACATTTTACAGGTGTCAAGTGGAATTTCATGTGTGACATCATGTTTGCATAAAGCCACAAGTGTACTTTAAACTTGCAATATGTTGATAAAGATTCAGAATCAATCATGTCCTTCTTTAAAGTCCATCAATACAGATGGCAGTGAATTGCACACTAGGGAATAAATCCAAATTCTTTAAAGCCAGTTGCTATCCATTACAAGATGGCCTAACCCTTTTAAATTGTCTGTTGAAATCAATTTCTCCCTTGACTCACATGCCACTTTAGAATTTCAAGTACTACAAATTCCAGAAACATTTGCATAATATAAGTACATGATGTTCTAGTTCAGCTCTGAATCGGGTGGGATCACCTGCATAGCTAAGTCACTGTGTCATTCTCACTGTGGCACTTCCAAACAGGTAAATAATGGCTGTTCCACACCTGTCATTAAATTGTTACTGCCAGGTGAAGCAGCATAAGAATATCAACTTAGCTGGTTTCACTTGCAATAACTTGAGTTGATACTTTACACTTGTAGTTCAGAAACTTCTAAGATATTTAGAATTCAGAGATATCTCTTAGAAGAGGACATTTCCAGCCATCAAAGTAAAAAGCCAAACTTTACATTCATTTTTTACTTTCAAAAAGTAATCTTTTAGGATGTTTTAATTAGCTTTACAGTACGATGGACAAACATTTTAGGACATATCAGTTTACATCTGAGTGAAAACATTATGTACTCAGTAGCCACTTTATTAGCTTCACCTAGTTCATATCAGGTCGGAGCCAATTTATTACAGTAGGTATGCCTAGCTCATACCAGGTAGGAGCCACTTTAGGTACGCCTAGCTCAGGAGTGGGCAATCTTATCTGCAAAGGGCCAGTGTGTATGCAGGTTTTCGCTGCAACTCCCTAATTACATTACTAATTAGAGGACTGATTGGCTGAAGAGTCCTCACACCTGGGTATGAACAGCTGACCTACAGGTTATCCCAAAAACCTGCATACACACCGGCTCTTTGCAGATAATACTGCCCACGCTGGCCTAGCTCATATAAGGTAGGAGCCACTTTTACCTCCAGAACTGCTTCAAGAGCTTTAGTTAACAAGTCTGGCCATTCTACTTTGACTCATCTCATTAAGAAGGTGTTTTTGGCAACAGAACTGCCACTGACTGGATGTTTTTGTTTATTGCACCATTCTCTGTCAATTCTGGACACATTAGTATGTGAAAATCTCAGGATGGTAGATTTTTCTTAGATGGTGGAACCACCATGTTAGGTTCCGACAATCAGACCACATTCAAAATCACTTACAGTACATCAGGTATCTTAATGCTGTAATGCTCAGCCAAACAATGATAGACCCTCCTGTACTGTTTGTATTCTGCCGCAGCCACATGTTTAGCTGTTTGGAAGAGCAGACTGTTTGCATTAGTACATAAAGGCAACTGAGAATATAAATTAGTACATAACAGAACAGCAGAAAATTGCTGAAATCTTTTTTTGTTTTTAATTTAAGCAGCAGTGATCAGTTTGATATCTACCTGAAACATTACAATACTGAGTTAGGGGAATGAACTCTGTATTAACTGAGAGACTTCATTGATGATGAATGCCAATTCTACCAACAAAGTACATTGCAAGGAGCCGCCTATTTGTTTCAACCTCCCCCTTTCTGACTATTATAATCAGCATGACTCCCGCTGTCAGTTTGCTCTCTAGATTAAGGGTGAATGGTACGAAACAGAATTAATTCTCTTCAGATGGCAGTCTATTCATGAATCCCCCCCCCCCTCCATGAATCACCACCTTATTGTGCTGGAGGGGTTTGTGTGCCTCTGTGATCCTAGAAGCTATGTTGCCAGGGGAAATTGCCCCTGAAATGGTCTCCCAAGGCAAATTGGTCTTAGGTGAGCGACCAGGCTTGGAGAGAGCTTGCAGGTAATTGCCTGATGGCCAGGCCTGTACCCATGTGTCCTAGCTTGGCATAGCCTCAAAGGGTTTCATCAGTCTGCCCTCCCGTGGGCCCATGGGTATCAGGTACAGTGTAGATCGGGTGGCAGTCGAATGCAGGGGTTTTGGCCGACAGATGTCAGCAACCAAATCTGGTTATAGGCACATGAAACTTCTCTGGTGAGAAAGGAGCCTGAGCTGATGCGGGAGGTAGAGAGATACCAACTGGATATAGTTGGGCTCATCTAAACACGCGGTTCAGGCTCTAGATCTGGAACCAAACGCCAGGAGAGGAGCTGGACTCTATTTCATTGGTGAGAGGTACCAGGCAGGTGTGGTTCTACTCAGGCTTGTGGTTTGGCACCAGTACATTGGAGTTTACCTCGGTGAACAAGAGTGTGGCCTTTCTTCAACTTAAAGTTGGGGGCTTGGCTTATGCACCAAGCACAAGTTCAGAGTATCCAGCCTTCTTGGAGAACTTGGATGGGGTGCTGGAAGGCACCCCCTCTGGGGACTCCATTGTTTTGCTGGGGGATTTTACCGCTGACATGGGTAGCAACAGTGAAACCTGGAAGAGCGTAGTTGGAAGGAATGGCCTACCTGATCTGAACCCGAGTGGTGCTCTGTTATTGGACTACTGTGCTTACCACAGTCTGTCCATAACGAACACCATGTTCGAACATAAAGGTCTTCATAAGTGTACCTGGCACCAGAGTACCCTAGACTGCAATTCAGTGATCCATTTTGCTATCATATAGCATATTGTCAGATCTGCATGGTTTGGACACTTGGATGAAGAGAGGACCTAAGCTGTCAACTGATCACAACTTGATAGTAAGTCCCGCTGTAGCTGCTGAGCCGCTAGTTCAGTATCTGCTACACCACCTACCTTGGTGTCATCTGCAAATTTCACCAGTTTACTGTATATATTGGTGTCTATATCATTTATGTAAATTAGGAACAATAGTGGTCCTAAAATTGAACCCTGCGGTACCCCGCTATGAACGCAGGCCCACTGTGACATTGTGCCTCTTATAACTACTCGCTGCTTCCTATCTGTTAACCAGTTATTAATCCAGGTCGCTACAGTTCCTAAAATACCTGTCGCTTTGAGTTTAAGTAAGAGTCTCTTGTGGGGGACAACATCAAAAGCCTTTTGGAAATCTAAGTAGATGACATAATAGGCCTTCTTATCATCAACTTCCTGAGTAGCTTCCTCAAAAAACTCCAACAGATTTGTTAAACAGGATCTACTTCTCCTAAATTAAAGGTTGTTGGTGCCTGTTGTGATGGCAAGCCCTGAACCCAGTGATGGACACTAGTGGTAAAAGGAGCTGTCAGGCTGAAGAAGGAGGTCTTCCAAGCTTGGTTAACTCATGGGACTCCGGAAGCAGCGAGAGTTACTAGCAGGCGAAGCGGAATGCAGCTTTGGCAGTTGCTGAAGCAAAAGCTCAGGTGTGGGAGGAATTTGGTGAGGCTATGGAGAATGATTTTTAGTCAGATGCTGCCAAACCATCAGTCGACTTAGGGGGAAGCAGGGTTTAACCCATGCTTTTTACAGCAGGGATGAAGAACAGTTGATCTCAAATGTGGATAATGTCAAGCAGTGGAAGGAGTAGTTTGAGGACCTCCTGAATCCCATCTTTACTGCTTCCTTGAAGCAGAGCTAAATGACTCAGAGCTGAGTCGAAAGGCTAAGCTATCAATTTACCAGTTGATCTACATTACTGCCCTCAATTTCAGTCACAATCTTTGGGTAGTGACTGAAAGAATGAGATCACAGATACAGGTAGCAGATATGAGTTCACCTTCTCTTGGGGGTGCACGGGTGTGCCCTGGGACTAGGTTGTCCTTCATCCTATACTGGAAAAGTAGTTAGAAATTAGATGGGCTTAAATATATCCGAAATATATTTTATATGCTTGTAATGTATTATTTGCCTTTCTTGTATGTCTGTTAAACAAATGAATGTAACAGTAAGAAGCACTTCACAATCCATAGGGCAGCTGGGTTGTGGGAGAGCCCCAGGTGAAAGCCTGTGAGCAGAGGGTGATCGACACGGTGATGAATGTGCAGCCTGTACCTGCCTGCTGACCCTACCATTTCTAACACAGTACTGTGCAAAATCTGTCAAAGAAAATGGTATTTAATGATCTTCAAGTTCATGTAAAGCTACTGTATGATAGCTATGAGTGTTAGCTTAGCCATTTCAATACCTCTCCTCTGTCACATCCGGTGCATGAGCGGGGAGCAGGGAAGCAGATCCGGGAGACGAGAATCCAAAAAACGGGATTTTATTGACAGATCGGGGAGCAGCACAGGACAAACGTTAATGACCGATCTGGGAAACAGACGGAGACACAGACTGATATACACAAGACAAGCTGGAAATAACATCAAACAGCTAGGAACAATCAGGGTTTCATACGAGGTTAATGAGGGGGCGTGGCACACAGGAGGATCGTACGAGCAGGTCATGACAAGCTGGTTGTGAAATTTAGCAAATACATAGAATGGCTGAGGTTCCCCTGAGAAGAGATTTGGGAACTGAAGCGGGGTTCATTTCCCAAGCCATCCAGCATGATATCAGTAATTTTTTGGAGAAAAGAAGATATTCTGGTAATACTTTACTTGAGGGGGCACAAGTAACTTAGTAACTCAGTTACTACTCAAGTACAAATCGTGAATAAATATAGTAACTGGACGAATGATTGATTAATGATAAATGAACATGGGATCAGTATGCAACTAATGCTTGGTTTCTGGTCCATTAATACATTAAGTGTGTACTACTACATTATTTGTGCCCGCTCAAGTGGTGTTACTGAAATTGTTTTTTTTATTTTGTTACTGATGATTAACATATTCTAATGTTATATAGTTTTTTTTTCTAAGCAAATACACACTTACTGTGCAGATAAATAGCTTTAAACATTTCCTCTGACTGCCAAAGACAGTAGAGTATTGTATGTATAAGAGAAGTTACATTTCTAACGAGTTAGGCCAAATGTGGAAAACACACATATAAATATTGTAATATTTATAAAGTACTGTAATCTCATCTAGAGTGTACCCCAACCATGTGCCCTGTGCTGCTCGGGACAGACTCTAGACTTTGTACATAGAAATGCAGCTACAGTTTAGACAAGAACTCCTTTATTTATTGTATCAAGGGTTCAATTGCTATGGTTGCCATAGTAATCATATAACAAATGGCTGACCCTGTTCTCAGGTCTTGACTGATACATCTCTTTGGACAACAAATTAATAAGATGCGCCCTTTTCTTTGGTTTTATACCTAATTTTTTGTAGCCCGGTAATTAAGATTCCCTGCATGTGCGTTCAGTCTACATGTAGATACAGCTTACAGTTGGTGTTGACAACTGTGGAACTGGGTCTCAGCGTAACCAAGTGAAAATTTATTTTTATATTTTTTAAACAACAGAACTAAACAAACCTTGAAAATGCAGTCATAAGCAGGAAGACAGGGAAAAGGGATGGCAATGCCTTTTTCCAGAAGCTGACCTTGGAACAGGAAGCCTGGGAAGTTGAACAGGAAACTGTTGCTGCAAAAGGGACCCCTGGTGTTCAGAGAGCAGCGGGTAAACGGCAAACTTCCTGTCCATTTCAGGCTGCAAGGCGGCATTCCACGGCTTCCCTGAGGTAAAGGTACATGCGGGCTGCTAGCAATAAGGACAAACTTCAGCTAGACAGTGAACAGGGAGCTTCAGGCAGCTTAGTCTGCATAACCCAATGCACTTATGAACAATTAGCAGTAGCACTTGTCAAAACTGGTGGCCTTGCATGTGGATGCTTTGCTGCCAGCAGCTCCCCATCATATTTGCTTCATTCTACAGATTGTCCCCAGCTAACTACTAACACTTCTTTGCCTAAAAGAAGTACCCTTGCCTGTGGGCATCGTTCCATGTCATTCTTTAGGAGGTAACTCTCTGCTGGTATTCCAGTCCATGGCCAGACTTGATACTGTCCCTCCTGCATTATCATTTCCATGGCATCCATTTTTGCGTTATGTTATTATGCCTGATGAGCTATATCACCAGTGCTAATGTAACAGGCTATAAGTATAGCAGCCTCCTATGCTGGATCAATCACATTAGCTACTATTCCAGCCACCAGTGAAGGTCCAGGACACCTGTCTCTTTTCCTGCCAGGTGTTTGATCTGGATGTATTCCAACTGGACCTAGCAAGGTTATTTAGCATCAGGTATTACCTTATCCTTGGTGCATCTACTCAAACTGTAGTTTTTCGATAAGCCTTTAGGGTTTGAAGAATCCCATTGTCTTGCATTGGTACAACCAGGGCATCTGCTTGCAGAAATACAGAAACAGCATTACTAATTATTAATAACACAGCTGGTTTTAGCAATTGGTGGCTGTGTATGGGAAGGAGGAAGAAGACAAGTATCAAAGATAGGCTCACTCAAACTCCAAAATATCTAAAAAATTGCTTAGGGTGCGAGTAAACGACATCAAAATAAAAATGGTGGCATGTGCAATTAACTTTTTTTCTAAATAGTATGAGACGTATCTTGTGAGTTTTTTGTATAAGGAGGAAGAAGACATCTTTCTACCTGGCTGTTTCACTCTTTAGTTCAGAGGTAACAATAGAGCCACTTACAAACTGGAATGGGGGCTGCTGGAAACAGCAGCACTGTATTCCCCAGACACCCCTGTCACCTGCCACCCATCCAGTCCATACTTCTCCCACACTCTCTAATCCAGTGGTTCTCAACCTTTTTGCACCACAACCCAATTTTTACCTTGCCAGCTTGGTCATGACCCTATATGAAGTATAGATTTAAATGAAGCATCTGTGGTTTGGCTTCTTGGATTGATTGAATGTTCACTAGGTTTGTGCTAAGCCTTTGCAGACCCAAGACCCATTTACAGTATCTCACAAAAGTAAGTACACCCCTTACATTTTTGTACATATTTGATTATACCGTTTCATGGGACAACAATGAAGATATGACACTTTGATACAATGTAAAGTAGTCAGTGTACAGCTTGTATAACAGTGTAAATTTGCTGTCCCCTCAAAATAACTAAACACACAGCCATTAATGTCTAAACTGCTGGCAACAAAAGTGAGTAAACCCTTAGTGAAAATGTCCAAATTGTGCCCAATTAGCCATTTTCCCTCCCCGGTGTCAAGTGACTCGTTAGTGTTACAGGGTCTCATGTGTGAATGGGGAGCAGGTGTGTTAAATTTGGTGTTACCGCTCTCACACTCTCTCATACTGGTCACTGGAAGTTCAACATGGCACCTCATGGCAAAGAACTCTTTGAGAATCTAAAAAAAAGAATTGTTGCTCTACATAAAGATGGCCTAGGCTATAAGAAAATTGCCAACACCCTGAAACTGAGCTGCAGCACGGTGGCCAAGACCATACAGCGGTTTAAGAGGACAGGTTCCACTCAGAACAGGCCTTGCCATGGTTGACCAAAGAAGCTGGGTGCATGTGCTCAGCGTCATATCCAGAGGTTGTCTTTTGAAAATAGACGTATGAGTGCTGCCATCATTGCTGCAGAGGTTGAGGGGGGGGTCAGCCTGTCAGTGCTCAGGCCATACGTCGCACACTGCATCAAATTGGTCTGCATGGCTGTCGTCCCAGAAGGAAGTCTCTTCTAAAGATGATGCATAAGAAAGCCCGCAAACAGTTTGCTGAAGACAAGCAGACTAAGGACATGGATTACTGGAACCATGTCCTGTGGTCTGATGAGACCAACAGGGCTGTGGAGTCGGTAGATAAATGCTCCGTCTCCAACTCCTCAGTTTCTAAATCTTCCGACTCCGACTCCCCGACTCCGACTCCTCTGTACTGTATGTATATACTATGCTAATGTATTTTCTACATCCATTGAAGGAAAGGAAGGCAACATACATGTCATTTCACCACAGAACTACTGGCTAGGAAGCCAACACTCTACTATAAT